ATTATTTTTTTATTAAATTCATTAATAATTCTATAAATGTTTTTTTTTTTTTTTTTACTGTTCGATTGGGTACTCTATCAGACGTACATACACGATGGTCGGCTCCCGGACCAGTGTACACGAGACCGACATCTCTGGATGTACAACGGGTGGATCTTCTGCTGGAACATCGGAGAACCTCACCAGCATGATAGGGTGCTCCACCATTTTGGGTGTCACCAGCCCATCCCCCAGATGCCGATCATTACGTGTCTGGCCGACTGGGACACCCACCACAAAGGCCAAGGCATGACTGGGAGGGCATATACCGATTGGTGGGCCTTCCATTATGATCTTGGGAGGATCTGGACCGACGAGAGAGATCAGAATGTCCTCCCAGATGCAGTCGGCAGAGGGGTACATTGATTGGTATCACAGTAGGACTGTGAGAATATTCAGTGACCCTAACAACCACGCGGCGATCTCACAGGACGACGGATTTCAGTCATATGTCGACCGGGAGAAGTGTCAGGTAAGTGTCTGGTAATTTGTGATTTTTATTATTATTATTATTTTCTTTTTTTAGCTGTTCATAATAGTTATTTGAATTTTATTTTCAGAATTCGGGTACGGAGGGGGCGTATAACACGCTATTGAACATTCAAGACATGTTTGATACGCTACCTCCCCGAGCGCAGGAAGGGTTCCAGCAAGCCCAGGAACTTCTGTACGCTTCTCTGACTGTTGGGGGCCAGTCGGTCACACAGGGGGCGTCGTCGGGGCAAATTCTATCTCAAGAGGAGTACGCCCTACCCCACCAGACACAGTTCCCGCGGGCGAGGCATAGACCGGCACCCCACATTGGTGGAGGGAGAAGATGCCGTGACCGCAAACCCGTCGCTGCATTCCCCGGGAATGAAGAAGACGAAGAAGGTGAGATTTTTTTTACTTAACTACAAATATATATTTTTTTTGTTTGTTTTTATTTATTTGTCCGGTCGAATTACTGATTTTTTACAAAAATTAATTAATTAGGTGAAGAAGAAGAAGAAGCATCCATGTGTGGACCGACCGCAGCATCGTCTTCTTCGGTACCATGGCCCCGTAGAGGGTCCCGAATACGCAGAAAGCATATACTCCTAGTTAGTTTGTGTTGTATTCTGTGATTTTCTGGGCATTTATTTTTTCTTTTAATTTTTGTACTGGATTTTCAGATATTTATTCTTGATGGTTTTATGTACATATTTTGTGGTTCACTTTATTTTTATCGGTAATTGTGGTTGACTTTTTGTATATAGTGGTTCGTGTATGTATGCATGCTAGATTATTATTTGACGAATGAATTGATATTGAAATGATATTATTTCGTGTTCAAAATGTTAAATCAAAATTCATAAAAAAAACTTTCATATTGAAGGACAAGAATAAAAATTCAGCCAAAATAAATGCGATCGCTGGTAAACGAGTTCGTGAGCATCCAAGAGTCGAGTCCTAACTTAAAAAAAAATAATTAATAAAAAAATAAACACGGATTCTAAGAATCCGTGTTATAACAAAAAAAATAAAAATAAATAAATAATAAATAAATAAACACGAATTCTAAGAATCCGTATTATAATGTAAAACGGATTTTCAAAATCCGTTTTACGTAACACGGATATTCATAAAACGTGTTTGGTTGAATTAAGTAGGGTTAATCACGTCATTAAGTAAAGACGGATTCTGAAAATCCGTCTTTTGCTCGGAATTAAAGAAAAACGGATTCTGAAAATCCGTGTTTTAAGGAAACATGGATTCTCAGAATCCACCTCTTTTATTTTTTTCCAGAAAAATTTTTGTTGATTTATTTTTGTCCACTTTTTTTTTTAATTAAATAAATGATTCGTTTATAGGTAGCTCTTGTTCAAAGAAAGAAAATATTATGAGTAGCACTGTCAAAACGGGCCATGGCCCGTGGGCTGGCCCGTCCGTCCGCCTAAATGGACAGGCTTGGGCCTTTGCTTGGCCAGCCCGTTCAATCGCGGGCCTATTTGACCCGCCCCGTTCGGCCCACAGTCTAAAGCGGGCTGGGGCAGGCTGGCCCGCGGTCCAGCCTATTTTTTTTATTATTTATTTATTTGTTAATTTTATATTATTTAAATTTAGTATTTCTTACTTTACTTCTAACTTCTAACTTGCGTCGTTCAAGTTTCAAAACTCTTCACTTTCATTCTACTACGTCTACGTGACCCTAGCCCTCTCGCGCAACTCGTCTCTTTGATTGTTTGTATTTTACTTTGTTGTCGGACTTTGATTGTTTGGATTTTACTTTGAATATGATCTGCTATGGGAATTTGAATGTTTGTTAAATAGTAATTATTACTATTGATGGACTTGTTTATTTTGTTGGATTTTGTCTTTATCGTCTTTTTTTTTTCTTCTTCTTCTTCTTCTTCTTCTTCCATATTTATTTATTTTATATTTTTTAAATTTGACAATGATATTAAGATTTGTGAATGCACATGAAACACTTTTTTACATAATAAAAATATTAATGAACCAAATAATATTTTATGTGAATTAAGTCTCTCCTCCGCGTGAATACCTTATAACTTTTCATAAAAAAATAAAAATAAAAACTGGATGACAAATATTTAACATCTATACACATGAAGCCTTACTAGTTTATTAATATACTAATAAATATAAGGATAAACAAACTAAAAAGTATATAAGAGTGTATAATACCAAAAAACCCACGGGCGGGCCGATTTGGCCCACGGGCTAATGAGGGCGGGCCACGGGACATGGATTTTCCAGCCCGTAGAAATGCGGGCCATTCTGGCCCGCCCCGTTTGAACCGCGAGCCAGCGCGGGCTGGAGCGGGCCGGATCGGACCGGCCCATTTGACACTGCTAATTATGAGTTATCCATTTTTAGTGATCAAATCAAACATATAATATAACTCATCATGAAATAAATTACGAGTCTATTGGTTGTTATAAATTGAGCATCTTAAGGTCAATATATCTATCGAATTATTTCAACTAGTTTGTCCATATATTAATCATACATTAATAAACTCACATCTATATATATATAATAAGAATTACCATTTACCAAAAATAGTAACAAAAAAATAGGTCAGAATTTAATGCAGCCTATAAATAGTAAGTTTTATTATTTTCTTTTATTTTTTTCTTTAAAAATCATACAACATTAAATGTTACCTTAAATTTCGGGCTTTTGTTCCTTTTATTATTTAAAAAATGCGGCTAAGATTTATTAAGTGTGTATATTTTTGTTTTTATTTTTTTCTTAGAAACAACGAACAACATTAAAATCTCGCTCTCTATATTTATAAAAACTCAATTCAAAATATAACAAAAGATTTAAAATCTCGGTCTTTATATTTGTGCCTTTAAAAAAAAATATTGAAAGCTAAAAATATTCTTTAAATTGGATAATCAATCAAGTAAACTTAATTTTTTAAAAATTAATGTGTTTATTTTTTACTAATATGCATAAAGTAAAAATAATTAATTCATCTTTAGATATATAATTTATAATCTTAATATGCTATCATTTGGTGTAGATATTTATTATATGAATCTAAAATATTTTTATTTCATAAAATTAAATATATTTACAGAAAATAAGACAATTTCTTCGTATCAATCGGGTGATTGAATTAGGGTATTGCCCAGTTTGATTGAATTACTTTTAGGTGATATTTAAAATAGTAAAAAAACTTGATACCACTTGGTTGGTCCCAGATGACTAAGTTATGTATCAGTTCTACCACACCAAATCGATTATTGAACCTAAATATAAATTTTATATTAAAAATATTTTATTGCGTGAATGTGATATAGTCCAAACTTCAAGTAATTGTATTAACAACACTTTTACGAGAACATGTTTAATGATTTATGAATATTTATATACTATTTTATTAATATTTATGTGAATTAAATTATATTTTATTATAATATTTATTAATGTACAGTAAATATAAAGTTTTCGAGAATTGGACCGTAATAAGGTATTTTATTACGTGAATGTGATGTAGTCCAAACTTCAAATAATCCTATTAACAATACTTTTATAACAACATGTTGAATGATTTATGAATATTTATATATCATTTTATTAATATTTATGTGAATTAAATAATATTTTATTATAATATTTATTAATGTAAAGTAAATATAAGGTTTTTAGAATTGGACTGTCATCGAAATGATCAAGCTATTTTATCAAGCTATTTTAATAAATATAAATAATGTGTTACTTAGATATCTAAACAATTTATAAATTCAAATGTTTAAACTAATTGATAAATAATTTATAAATCTCTATTTTATTTAAATATGTAAAAAATAATGTTAAATATAACAAAATTTATTTAAAAATCGTATCGATCTTACCGATCCAACCGACTGGTATTGAGGGATTCGAGAGCAAATATTTTATTCAAGCAAACTAGACTGGTTATAAACCGTTCTCGGTCCTTTCAGTCGGACAGTGTCCAACCCGGTTTAATTTAAAAACAATGGATAAATCATGATTAATATTATTTATATATTTAATTTATAATACAATCATAATATTGTTTTCCCGTGCATCGCACGGGCCACGCACTAGTTCCTTATAACCTTTTAATCTAATATGAGAGAAGAGTCCGTTTTCGTCCAGCATACATTATTCTACTTGCACATTTCGTACTCTGTTTTAATGATCTCGCGTGAATGCCCAAAAGATATTCTGAACTCCTAAAATCAACGTGAACTAAAAACACAACACAAACGGAGACAAAAGTGCCATCTAGTTGCCTTTTTGCTTTATTTGTCAAACAATAATAAGAAATGGACTCAAGAAAATGACAAAAAGTGATAAAAAAAAATTACAAAAATGGAATCTCTTCTCCCGCCCCATACAAACTGAGTCGCAGACTCACAGTTAATGACATGGAATTTTTGCCGGAATTTAAGGAAATGTAAGAAAAATAGACAATGTGCGAAATGCCTAATAAAAACGAAAAAAAAAAAAGAACAGGCAGTTTTGTGAATTCATTTCATCCGTGTATATTTTTCTTTTCATTCTCTTTGCGGCCTCAAATTAGATTCTGAGCTCGCAATTAGAAGAAAAGAATAGAAAATATCGAGCTGTTTTCTTGTTTTTATCATTCCCATTTGCTAGGTTTTGTGAATTTCTTGACAGGAGGAATAGATAGAAGGCATTTTTTTTTTCGGTCCCACTTAAAGCCACCATTTTTGTCCGGACTCTTGGTTTTTTCCTCGATGTTATGCATGGCTGCAGATTGAAATCAAGAAAATAGTTCTTTTATGGTTCAAGATTCGATCTTGACCAGTGGGCTACATTTTTTACAGGGCTGCATTTTTTTTTTACAAAAAATTGGGACCCTCCTTTTTTTTATATATATGTCTCCCCCAACTTTGCAACTAGAAAAATGGGGGAAAATGGTGAAAATTGAACTCTGAATCTTTTGGAGTTCAGAGCTATGGTATATGGAGCATCACAGAAGGGAAAATGCGTCAGATTTTGATTATTCAAATGGGCTTTGGTTTAACTGTTGGGCTGTTGAACTTAGTTACATTGCAACTTAAATGGCTGATTTGCAGAGGCCTAGCCTTGTGGAAAGGGACATTGACCAGGTACACTGTATAAACGTGTTTTTATTTTGTTGGTAATACTTTTGTATTACTTACTAGTAGAACTCTTTTCAGGACGATGTTGTCGTGTTTAAGGAAACTTACAAATTTTAACATGCTGAGTGAAAACTATGTTCTAATGAAATTCCCTTGTTTAGGCCATCACAGCCCTTAAGAAAGGAGCACACTTGCTGAATTATGGTAGGAGAGGGAAGCCAAAGTTTTGTCCATTTAGACTTTCCGCAGTAAGCTTTCACTTTTTTTTTTTTTTTTTCACAATTTTTTTTTTTTTTTTTTCAATGAGTTTCAATTATACTTTGACAGTTAAAAAGATTTATTGCTGATATTAATCTAGAATATGATTGCTAGGCCTTCAATTTATGCTCATACGTGGTGTGTTTTATAATTTCTTCAGCGTTTTATTGTGCTGAGCAAATTTACTTTTTAATGAGCTAAGATATGATGATTTAACTTCTTCTAATCGAAAACAATATGGACATTAGTTTCTTGGTTTCTGAATAGTGTTTATAATAAATTCAGGATGAGACCTCCTTGATATGGTGTTATGGGAAAGATGAGAGACAGATTGAGCTACGTCGTGTTTTGAGGATAATCCCTGGGCAGAGGACTGTAAGTATGGACAATATAATTTTCTCCATCTCCGGAGACCCTAATGCAAATTTTAAGCCTCAAATCATTCTCCTACATGTCGATACCAAAAAAAGAGAGTAGAATTTAGTAATTTCACCAAACTAACAGTTCTGTTTTTATAATAGAACTATGTGATAGGCTGATAGTTATTCTTTGGAGAAATCTTACTTTCTGTATATTGTTTGTTGAACAATAATTCTCAGTGAACTGTACTAGAAATGTAGTTTGTTTATTCCAGTAAGAGCTTAAACATCCTTTAGTATTGTACTATTGTTAACTGACTGTACTTTCAAATTCAACTGACATAACTTTTTACTCCCGACAGTCGATATTTCAGCGGTACCCCCGTCCCGAAAAGGAATACCAATCATTTTCCCTCATATACGACGACAGGTCCTTGGATCTGGTCAGTTTCTCATTATTCTCTCACTATTCCAACTGTACGTATATCACGTTACATTTATTTTGAACATTTTAGTTAGTTCATCATTGTTTATCTAGTCTGCTGATATGTTTTGCAGATATGCAAAGATAAAGATGAAGCCGAGGTCTGGTTTGCCGGTTTAAAAGCTCTTATTGGACGCAACGGGTATAGAAGACAACAGAGAAACGATTTGAGAAGTGAATCACTGCCCGAAAGCCCACGTGGTCGGAGGATTACCCCATCAAATTCAGCTGTGAGTAGTACTAACCTTGATCATTACTTCAGATAATCCAATAATACAAGCTCTTTTTTTCCCCTCCTCATATCTTTCATTCAGTTTACTCAGGATGAAGGATCCACCAAGGCCCCAATCGAGACTGCTTCCCAAAGCAGACTCGGGAAAGCCTTGGGCGATGTCCTGTCTTACGCCGCCGCGGCAGATAAAATCCCTCAACTAACACAACAGTCGAACGTGCGAACATCAGGAGCCGACACTATCCGAGCGAGCCTCTCGAGCGTCGTGAGCTCGTCGAGCCAGGGCTCGTGCGCGGAGGACTTTGAAAATCCGGGGGAGGTCTTCATATGGGGCGAGGGCGTGGCAGACTGCCTAACGAGACCCAACCTAAGAGCCACCAACGCGTTGCTGCCCAAGGCGCTCGAATCGAGCGTCGTCCTCGACGTGCAGAAAATCGCGTGCGGGCATAGACACGCCGTCCTAGTCACAAGGCAGGGTGACGTTTTCAGCTGGGGTGAGGAGGATGGGGGCAGGCTCGGCCACGGGGTCGAATCCGACTTTTCCCAACCGAGGCTCGTCCAAGCCCTGGGAGGAAAACCCGTCGAGTCGATCGCGTGCGGCCAACGCCACACGTGCGCCGTGACGCTCTCCGGTGATTTGTATATGTGGGGGGACGGAAGTACTCCCGACGGGCCGGGCCACTGGCTTCCGAAGAGGGTTGGGGGCCCGTTGGAGGGCCTTCAGGTCTCGTCGGTGGCGTGCGGCCCGTGGCACACGGCTGTGGTGACGTTGGCGGGACGGTTGTTCACGTTCGGTGACGGAACGTTCGGCGCGCTGGGACACGGTGATCGACGCGGGGCGTGTGGCCCGCGCGAGGTCGAGGGCCTCAAGGGGTTGAGGACTGTGAGGGCCGCGTGCGGTGTGTGGCACACGGCAGCTGTCGTGGATGTGAGGTCTGAGTCCTCCGTTTCGGGGAAGCTCTTCACTTGGGGGGACGGGGACAGGGGTCAGCTCGGTCACGTGAATTGCGACCCGAGGCTGGTTCCTGAGATGGTGTCCTCGTTGGCTAACGTGGATTTCTGTCGAGTGGCGTGCGGGAATAGTCTCACACTGGCTTTGACTACGTCGGGCCGAGTGTATGCCATGGGAAGTATGTGCGGAGGGAAGCACCACGCAATCTGTATTCGAGACAATATAGGAGAGTCTTTTGTCGAGGAAATTGCCTGCGGCTCTCACCACGTGGCCGTCCTGACTTCGAAGTCGGAGGTCTACACATGGGGCAAAGGCTCGAGCGGGCAGCTCGGCCACGGGGATCCCCAGGACCGTAATATTCCCACGCTCGTCGAGTCTTTAAAGGAGAAACAGGTGAAGAGCATTGCTTGCGGCTCGAATTTCACGGCTGCCGTTTGCCTCCAAAAGTGGACATCGAGCGTGGACAACTCCGTCTGCTCGGGATGCCGTAGCCCTTTCAATTTCATTCGGAAGCCGCACAACTGCTACAATTGCGGGCTCGTCTTCTGCAAGGGCTGCAGCGCCCGGAAGTCCGTGCAAGCCTCGTTGGCGCCAACTGCGAGTAAGCCGTACCGCGTTTGTGACGACTGTTTCGTGAAGCTGGGAGAGAGAGGCCCAGCAGCAGCGTCCAGGGCCTCGAGCGTGAATGTTCAAAGGATGTCTTCGTTCAAGTTGGATCGAAATCTTGGGCTGAGTGTTAAGTTTGAGGCACGGGTGATCTCGCAGAGGCCTAGCACGTCGTCTAAGTCGCCGACAAGCCCTCTTGGGTCGTCCCAGAATTTTTTAACTTTTTTCATGCCGGACTCGAAGAGAGTGTCCCGATCGGCGTCCCCTGTCCCGCAGAGGTCGTCCACACCATCGCCACCCATGTCTTTTACTTTGCGCACGTCTGAGTCCAATACGGAGGAGGCAATGGGTAGCTCTGATGTGCTCAGCTTTGAGGTCAAGAGCTTAAGGGCACAGGTGCGGTGCTTTCTGAATTTTTTTTTTTTTTTAATAAAAAAAAAAACAAAAAAAAGGATGAAAATGATGCATCATGTGATTTTCACTCTAGGTGGATAATGGGTTTGTTGGTTTGGTGAAATTTGTGTTTGCCTGCATAAACATTGGGAATTCCGCTTGCAGTTGTGTTGAGTGTTAGTATGACATTGCGGGGAATAATGTCATTCTTTCATGTATTATGTGTTCAGTCGTGACAATAACTGAACTTGGGATATTCTAACTTCAGTTGAGAAAAATGCCTGTGTTTGTGTTGCTGTATAGAAAACAATATCTTGGCAAATAAGAAATGCAGTAGGCCTTGAGCACAATAATGTCACATGTTTAAACACATCCTAATGGAATTTGGGTTGATATTTCAGGTGGAGAGTCTAACGAGCAAATCCCAACTTCTCGAAACTGAACTTGAAAGCAAAAGAAAGCAACTGAAGGAGATGGCTGCACAGGCAGCAGATAAAGCTGAAAAGGCCAAAGCTGCTGAACAAGTGATCAAGTCTCTCACTTCTCAGGTTTGAAATTAGCATTTGGCCAAGCCGTATATGAAAGAGAAATGGGGATAACATTATTATTAAATTTGGTTGTGCTCGACAAGAGCTGGTTTTAACACAAACAGAGTTGAAATTTCATGCAGTTAAAAGAGATGTCCGAAGAAGTGGTAGAGGAGCAAGCAACTGCATTTAGCCATTTGGAACCTGATGTGGAAATGATGAACGATCCTAACCGTCCATCCAACGGGAGTAGTGTGACTAGTATAGCCTCTCCAAAGACCCAACATAGTGAACATGCAAATGCACAAACGATGCAAAACGGAACTAAATCCCAAACACAAAAGTCAAAGCGAATTGTGCAAGACGAGCCAGGCGTCTACATAACTCTCGTGTCCTTGCCCAATGGTGCGAATGAACTAAGACGAGTTCGTTTCAGGTTATTTCTTTATTTATTTATTTTTTCTTTTAGTGTCTTGCATACATTTTCCCTGAAAAATATTGTTTTCAAACACTCTGTTGAATTTTTTATTTATTTTTTTTTTGCTGGGCCCACAACAGTAGGAAACGTTTCAAAGAAGAAGAGGCGGAGAGGTGGTGGGCAGAGAATGGGACGAGAGTATGCGAGCAACACAATATCACAACTGTGCGCTAGTCGTCAAAGCTATTTTTGTCGGGATTTTTTTCCTTTCCTTTTTGTTTTTCGAAGTTTGGGCGGCAACTGTAAATTCTCTAAGTTGTGGTTTTGGTTAGCTCGACTTCGACTTTGTGCTGTTTT